AAATAGGAATAAATCTGGGCCGTCCATCGCGATGCAATCTGGATCATCTATACGTGATTCAATCTGGGCCGTCCGCACGCGTGATATTGGGCCGTCCGTGCGCATAAGATCTGGGCTGTCCGCACACGTGAGATCTGGACCGTTCGATCGCGTGCACGCGGATCGCTCATGTGGCTCCGTCCCGCGTGGTCTCCCGCGTCAGCTTCCTTGCCACGCGGCATGTTCTGGTTGGCCGGGGGCTGCTGACGTGGCACAATTTTTTTAAATTGTATTTTCACCCCTAGTTTCTGATTTTCTTTTCAAAAACACTCCTATAATTCAAATTTTCACATTTTTTTTCCAAAATCAATTTCAAATAAATTCAAAAAATAATTTTACCCTATTTTATCATTATTATTATTTTTATTTTTATTAAATTAAATTAAAACTTTATAAATTAAATATTAAAAAATTAAACTAAAATTTTAATATAAATTAAAATTAATAAAAAATAAAAAATAAAAAAATTTGGGTCTTACAGATAATTACTAAATATATAATTTTTTTAGTAAATTGTAATTATTTAAATTAAATTAATTTTTAAAAACATCGCAAAATATTCATTTGGTCCGAATACATCATGATTTGTTAATATCGTAGCAATTTAGTTATTATAATATTATTAACGCACTAATAAATTAAATATTAAACCCAATTGATTTAAACATCACGGACCAATATTAATTTAATACATTATAATATACCTACAATATCATTAATACAATATTTATTCCATAATATTAATTCAATACATTATAATATACCTACAATATCATTAATACAATATTTATTCCATCCGTTCGTTGTGACTCGTTGATATTATAATAATTTAGTTATCGCAATTTTACTAACACAGTTTTAATTAAATATTAAATTATAATATACCCACAAATTATAGAATAATATATTATTTATTGTAAATGCAATACAAATTTTAATAGAATAATATGTTAATTATATAATTAATAAAAAAAATAACACGTCATCCGTAATATTTACGAAATTACTGTCACATAACAATAGTTTGTGTTTGGTTAACTTAATTTTGTTTAATTTATATGGTGAGAATATAAATAATAAATGTTTAATAAAAAAATATTTTAAATACATCAATAAATTAATATACGAAAAGATTTAACGAACATTATAAGTTAATTTTAATTTTTTATTATAATATAATTATTAATATTTTTATTTATTTAAAAAAGTCTAATTTTTTGTAATTTTGCAGTAAAAATTAAAAATAGTTATGTTGTATTTGAATATTTTTAAAAATTAATAACAATATTAATTTATTTGATCGAATTATTTTCTGAGTTTTTTTTTTAAAGTAAAATATAATAAATTATTTTATTTTTTTATGTTAAAAAATAGAAAGAAAATGAGCATTTAAAATAAAAAATATATATTTATTTTAATTTTAAATGCGTTACGACGACTCTACTTGCATACAATACATGATATATACTATTTTATAAATTTTCTCATAATAATGTAATTCGTTATATAATAATTGTTTAAATATAATCATTTTGTGTTTAAAGTTTCTCTATTATATGTCTATTGATATTGTAGATCACAATTACATAATTCTCATTTCAGATTAGTCTACTTTCTACTAACTATATAAATATTTCGGTTCACTGCTCACGCTTCCCATTCATTCTCCTCTATATGCTAATCTCAGAGGAATGCAGCTTTGATATAGTTTTTTGTACTACGTCATCTGTAAATGATAGATAATGAGCATACACAAGCTCAGTAAAATAAATTCGAATTATAAACATGGCATGAAAACCCAATTAAACGCCTACATTAGTGCCCTACTTCCTATATTCTTACTTCCATTATCCTCTTCGTTTCCCCTACCTGTCGTTTCCCCTACCTGCACTCTTCTCCCCTTACGTGTTTACCACCAATACAACCACCACTCTCTTTGAAAGAAGACTGTCAACTCTTACCACGTAAGGTCACCACTATAAGCCACAACAACAGTACCAAAAGTACTTGTTCACTCGACCATAAATCAGCCACACATCCACACCATTACTCTCTAAGTAACCCTCAACCATTGCTAAATATCGACGATCCAACTCACCTCTATTCCTGCCAAGAATCAACCATAAACTGGCCACCTACTCACACCGTTACCCTTCAGTTAATCCTCATCCATCACTAATGTCGGTGATCCAACCTATTCCCATTCTCGCCCACCATCAACCTTAACCCGACCACACACTCACACCGTTACCTTTATAGTAATCCCCAGTCATCACTAATATCGGCGATCTAACTTATCCCCATTTTCGCCAATAATTGATCCCAAACTGGCCACACACTCATACCGTTACCCTTCAGGTAAACCCCCAAACATCTCCAATATTGGTGATTCCCCATATTCCATTATTAACAACCATCAACAGCCTACATCGGCATTCCCACATTTGAAAAGTACCAAGACTACATTCATACAATTTTTACAATCACAATAAGTCATCATATATGCATGCATATTCAACAAATACGCATAATATTTCATATAGGCATACATATTCAATCAGTATATAAAGTAGTTCATTGTCACATCCACACACATGTACAATCAATAGAGTCCATATAATTTTTACATATTCATTATACTTGTCATGTAATATACACACACATACACTGTTATTGATTGTTTCCATCACTCCCTCCCCTCACTTCACACAACTACTTCCCCCTTATTTAATAACATACACACTGTTCATACGTCCATACCACACTTCCTGTTTTCCTCTTACCCTCCCATGTATCTCTCTCTCTCTTTCATCTCTCCTAACCGTCCCTCTCAGGACACTCCAACCACCACATTCCATATTCCATACTATATTCCTAGCCTAACTTCAACAACTCTGGTTTCCTCCTCTCTCTTTAGTGACTGTCAAGCACTATCCTATATGTATTCATACACTTACTTGCTGAAATTCTACATTTATGAATTTATTTCTCTTTGGTGATAGTAGGGTGTATATACACATACCGCAATATACATATATACACCTTTTCGGTCTCATTTCCACTAATTCCTCCCATTCGAGTTCCTCACCATTTCACCTACCATCCTTCATCCTCTCAATTTGATTCTTACCGACTCTCCTAAGATTCCACAGTTCCCTAACCTCTCTGTTGGCTCTCTCACAATCTTTTAGGGTTCATTATACAAAAACTCATCACAATATAAGATTTAATTACAAATTGCCATTTTTAGTGTTTAAGATTCAAATTTATAATATCTCTTGCCTCCATTGTCCTCACCACAACAATAACTCACTCGATCACCTTAATCGTCTCATTATTTTTCAGCTCTCTCTCTATTCCTCAACCGAGTGCCTCTTCTCCTCTCTTCTCCCTTTCTTTTTTTTTCCCCTCTTTTCCTTCATTTTCTCATCCTATTTAGATAACTCATCATAACTGTCCATTCACATCCCTTAATCTGAAACGTCCCCTATCACTCTCTCCCTCCTCCTCTACATTTTTATTTATTTATTTTATAAACTCAGTTATTACAATAATTTTAAATTATTAAAATAAAAAAATCACACAAAATTATAATAATTTATAATAAAGGTATTTTAATAAGAATATAAAAGACAAATTAAATAAAAAATATTTATAAATATCAATTTAAGGTTATTGAAAATTAATTTGCAATTAAGCCAATAAAAAACAGTGGAGAAAAAACAAAAACGAATTCTCAGACAAATAAAAAAAGAAAAGAACAGAGAAAATAGGAAATAAAGCTTAGCAAGTACCAAAACCTTCTGCGCATTTCTTCGACTCTCTCAATAAGGGGAGAAGAATCCCGATTGCTGTTTTCTGTATCCACCGGGCTTTTTCAGTTTCTGGGGAAAGAACCTAGAGTCTATTGTCTCTTTCACCTGCTCCTCGCGCTTCTCTATCTTAGATGGCGGATGCTTATTGGAGATACGGAGACTCAAGGCAAGCACCACCGTCATCGATCCCGTCTCTCGTCGGGAAACGACCTCGCTCTGATTATGGTAAACCTCGCTGATCGATTTTTAAGTTTTATCATTCAATTAGGAATTTTGCTACTACTCGATTGGCTCTGGTCAGAATTAGGGTTTTTATTATCCTAGTCTTTTAGCATCCGTTTTATTCCATTTCGTCTGTCGATGTTTAGTTTACCTAAGCAAGAAAACGGAACTCCATTTATTGTTAACTATTCTATCACAGCATTCATGGGTTTTCTTTCAGTTTCAAAGTTAGACCTGGACTTGCTTGGTTGAATTGTATGAAGACTAAACAGTCAACTGATGGCATGGGAGTTCTGTTTGTCAGCTGTTCGTTTTGATGTTTGTGGGACAAATTTATCGGTTTTTGTCAGGCATGTGGTTGAACTCACAGGATAATTGTTACTGAGCTGGTCTTAGAAATTTCAAACAATTGTGGCCTTTGCCATAATCCTCGAGTGTTCTGGTTCACATCTAATTATTTGGCATGAGTATGCGAGTATCTCTGGTTTTGGTGTCAAATTATAAGAGGACACGAGTTTCTGTACATTTTGAAGGCATTGATTGGTCAATGGATCCAGAGCAGGGTCTCAGTGAACTTGTGGTTACTTGTTTGGCATTCTTGAAAAATCTATCCCTGATTAATTGATTTTGGTTTAAGAACTAGCAAATTGCCTGTTTAATTATAGGCCATCCATTGACTGATTTTGGCTGTATGATAATCTCTATAACTGTTGCTATTTCTGTGAGGGAAACATTCAGCTTTGTGTAATTCTTGGTTCAAGTCCTGAATCCAGGCTTATTTTGGTTGAACAATTGTCTAATAAGAGTTGGCAGTTTCATGGGTGTGATGGACTAGTAGCATCTGATGAGTGCTGCTGTCTGTTAAGAAATTGATGCTTCTGTTTATGGGCTTTATGGTTTTCATTTCATTGGTTAATGTGGAAGGTAGTTACTGCATGTACTAATTGGATTACCTGTGGTCTCACGTTTAAAATTAGAGTTACTACAAGCCGTTAGGCTTCTAAACCTATGGTGGATTTTTAAAACTTGGACTATGGATTCCATGACCTGCCTTTTTTCTTTCCTGTCCAAGTTTGTAACCATTATTCAGAAGTTCCGTGATCATTTGCAAAGTAGTTCCTGATTTGGGTTTTATGTTCTATGTGCATCAAAGAGTAAGTGATCAGGTCAGAATATCATCATATAAGCTTCTATTGGAATGACTGAGTTTGACGTGGTATTCCTTTGCCTGGGAATGGTATATACACCCGTTAGCATTTCTGTGGACTTGATGACCGCTTTGATAATTCCTTTTTCCCACCACACTTTTTACGTCTTTGATTTACAATCATCCTGGTAATCATAGAAAGCTTTGGAGATGGATCTTCAAGGAACAATAATCCGGCTGAATAACTCAATATTGTACAGCAGTTTATTTCCTCTTGCTAATGTTTCATTTTTCCTGTACATTATTTTTGATAGTTGTTTCTTCTTCTTCTTCTTTTCCTTAATTGCTGTTTTCACTGAACACGTGCTTTGTTTTGTAGATCTCCCTGGTGGTCATGAGCCCTCAAGCTATTTTTCTCGTGAAGATGACCGACTGGCTCTCCGTGGAATGAGAGATACTGATTCCATTGGAGCATCCTATGACCGTTACCTGCGAAGTTCGGTATGAATCCTCAATTCCTTGGCCATTTTATCTATGGCTATATGATTAGAGCTAATGTGATCAAATCATGTTCCAGCAAATTTCATCATATGGTGGGGGGCAGTCTGCTAGATCCATTGCTGGAGGATTATCTAGTCGTGCTGTCGATGATCCGCGATTGGCAGGTCTTGGGGGTGTGGACCCAGTAGTAAAAGACAGGTCTTTGGGGCTTGGCAGTGGAAGGTCAGAGGTTGCCCTTCCTCCTGATGCATCAAGTACCTTGTTTGTGGAGGGTTTACCTTCTGATTGTACACGACGGGAAGTAGCTCGTATCCTTTCATTAATTAGCGTATGTTATGCTTGCAATGCCTGGTATTCTTCCTTTTTCTGTTGTGATTTTAACTGGAGCTTAAAGATATTTTCCGTCCTTTTGTTGGCTACAAAGAAGTGAGACTCGTTAGCAAGGAATCCAGACATGTAAGTTCATACCTCTTCTGCTTCATGTACTGTCCCCATCTTTTCCTCTGTTCACAGCCAACTTTTAGTTTTCAATATAAAGGTATGTAAATTAGATATTTTTGTGGGCTAATGTGATCTGCAGGCTGGTGGGGATCCACTGATACTTTGTTTTGTTGATTTTGTTAGTCCTGCCCATGCAGCTACTGCCATGGATGCTTTACAAGGTGAGATTGATATGCATATAAATTTCTACTTCTAGTATGTAGAATATTAAGCAGAAAAAATAATCATAAAGAAATTCTTTATTCTTTTGACTAACTTCGTTGTATTAGGCTAACTTGTGTCATTAATGTGGAACATGCATTGGTAACTGTGTGCATTTGAGTATAATAAAAGCAAAGGAGTGAGGAGGGATCAGAAGCGAGAGACTCATGACTGAGTGTTTGATTAGAGCAGGTGGGTTGACAAGTTAAAATCTTATTAGCACACTAAGGTCTAGGAGTAAATTTTTTTTTAAAGATACTTTATCTCCCAATCGTCAGTGATTAATTGCTGTAGACATGGTGTATTTCTCTATCGAAACAAATAGCGAAAACAATGAAGTCCTCAGATGTTAATCCTCTGGTCCATTGGCCTACTGTGCTGCCGTTATACACCGAGGATAAAATAGATGTTCCTGTGGAAAAAGAATGTTTGTCATTATCTCAGACCTCAGTGATCTTCTACAGTTTTGGTTGAGTTATTCTTATTATTGGTGGAAGTACAAAAAATTCAAAACCCGGAAGAAATTCAAATAAATTTGGTTAGCCTTATTCCTCAGCCTAAAATGCTGGGTGGGACGACATATGGTGTAGTAGTAAGTGTTAGATTGTAGATTTTATCAATAAAATTAAGTGAAAGATAAGTTTCGGAAGTTAGAAGTATTAGTTTTCTAAATGTATCTAATTCTAAGAAAAATTCTCAAGTATATTATAGATTTGGCATTGAAGGAGATAAACTAGGTCGATGAATCTCATATGTTCTACTCTGCGCTATTGAATGTTTCATGGGGATGATTATTGTTGTCATTGTTGGTACTGTGTTCTTCATGTTATCACTTCTGTGTCTGTATATTCTACCTCAATCTAGATGGACTCATAACTCTAGTTATCTTCATCATGCTAAGGAGGCGTACTTGATTCATTATCTTAATCTATTTATCTTTATTGATGCAATCATATCTCAACTGTTTATTTCTCGCTCCATTCCCTGATCGTATTGAAGTAAACCTACTGGCCAAAGCTTGAACAGTTGGTTTAGAAGCACATAAGTCTACTGCCTAACAAGGCTAGAGTGACCTCAGGTCCGTAGTAATGTGTACGGGCTATTATAAAAAAAAAAAAACTCTGAGGCTCATCAAAGGTCAAGGGACGAGACTTGCCTCTCTTATATGGGTTTCTTTGAAGAAGCAGCCTAGTTTTTTCTCCCTTTTCTGTTTCTGTGTCTGCTCTATCTTTGCTGTCCATTTGATAGTAATAATACATTTCTGTTAGTCAAACTATCCAAGGACAGGAGAAGCAAGGTTCTAAGGCAAAGAAGACTCAGATATTCCCCCACCCCTCCTCTCCTTTATGATATGCATTTGGTGCAAACAAAATGGCTGGTTAGTCAAACTTATTGTTGAAAGGTGCAAGCGTGTTTTATGTTCTTTCTGGCTTCCCAATTGCAGTATAAAGTGCTAGGCCTAGTACGCAAACTAGATTTTTTTGGAAACAATTAACGTTTTGAAGGTGAATTTTAGGTTGATGCAAATGAGTTAATGATCCACGACTTAACTTCTGTCCACTGACACCTTAATTACTCGTTCAAAGCGTCGTCAGCTATGCAGCGTAAATAGTAAACTAAATTTTGCAGGTTATAGATTCGATGAGCATGACCGAGACTCGATTAAGTTAAGGTTGCAATTCGCTCGCTATCCTGGTGCGAGGTCAGGTGCTGGGTATCGTGGCAAACGTTGAACTATGCAGTTTTGCAGGTGATTGATGATTTATTTTATCCGCGACCTTTTATTATAAATCGCCAATAGGTGTTCTTTCAGAAACTTCATTATGAGACGCTGAATCACAAGCTAAATACTGGAACGACACTTATCTGTAGGATTTGCGCGAGTCAGGAAGTCTATGATAATGAGCAATGGTACAGCAACGCGATGATCTCATGAATTTGAAAGACTCCGAGTTCCATAGGATGATAATTACTGCGTGTTTTCTGTAGTTCTGGGTCGATTGCTAGACATTTAAGTGTGTGCTTTATTAGAATGTGAAGGATTATATTTGCTTTCAATTGCTTCAGACTGACATCGATTTGAATCCATTTCAGTAGTTTTGCTATCTTAATTTATAAGCCGTTCTTTTATTGTCTTGAGTTCTGGGATCTGGAATCAATGTTGTAAAACGTTTATAAATAGGGATTTTAACTACTTCATGCGGGTCTATTTCCTTGTATTTAAGAGATAACAGCAACATTTTTGGTTCTTCCCTGCTCATACCCATGCCAAGAGGTAATCAGGGTAGAGAAATAGGAGGTTCATTGCCGGTAACCAACCACCTGATCTGCCTGGTAAGATTTATGTTTCATCTTGGGGTGAATCTCCCCATTTTGCAGTTGAGACTCTAAAGAGTTATAAATGTCCTTACCCTTAGTGGCGTTGTCAGATCTAGTTGACTGTTTTCTTTCTTGACTTGGTACCCTACAGTACCTCAATTCTGCCCTTGTGCTTGTTAATGAGAAAACCTGTAACTGCCAATCAGAGGTTATCTGACCTGGACAATGCCCTTTTCTTGTGTTTGCAAATGATGAAATGTCTATGCGGTATTGCCAATCAGAGGTTAATCCGTCTGGACTCTACTCTGACCTGTTGATCGTTTAGTGGCACTTTGGTGGCTTTTAAGAGAGTAGTCTTTTGTATGAACTAGTTGACCACTGGCTTCAGGAGATATATTGGGGACATGATATATTCTTGTGAGGGTAGTTGATAAAAGCTTGGAGTTCATACATTTTACTCTAAAAGATTACTCTGTTGAGCAGCAGGTGGTGATCTAGGTGATCGATGGTCACTTATGGGATTTAGTAGTTATGTGCATTCTTTGGACAAAAAATTGTTTGAAGTCTAGATTGGGTTTAGCACCTCTGTCCGATTGTTTTGGTGCGTTCGAATAAAGGGTTTAGCTAAATATGGCTCAAATCAAGTATTCTATAAACTTCATAAAAAGTAGATATACTTGTGAGCCATATTGTTGTCAGAGCCAGCCGAATTAAAATGTTATTGCTGACCTTAATGGGTGTGGCCTTGTGAGAAATTTTTGCGTGCGTTCCCTGACTATGTCAATGTTATTGGGTCACTTGCCGATAACATCAAAGAGATCCAATTACATACCGAGTGGGGTTCCGGCTTCTTTCCAGTCGATTACATAACGAGGGTGTCCCAGCTGATTTCTAGTCGAGGAGCATGTAAACAATTGTGGTTTCATTGTTGTAGCCGGGGTAAGATGATATCATCCTGGTGTTTGAAGTGTTGAGGGCTTCTCTTTTCGGTAGACTTCCTCTCTGCTTTTGAGTTTTGCATGGTCCAATTTTTGATGCTTCATAACGTTAGTTGTTTCTTAAGCTCCACTGTTGCCAGAACTTAAAAACTAGAAAAGCATGCATAGCGGCTGATAAAATTTGACACTGACTTATTTTTTTAAGACATAAGAGGATAAAATAAATTGGTCCAACTTGTTAGACACAGAAAATTGAACGGGATTCCATGGTTGGTCAGATTGTGTAAATCTGGTAAAAAATCACAAAATTCTCGCCGACCCTTTTGACTAGGAAAAATTGTTTAAGTGGATAAATCTGTTTTTCATGTTTCCGGTTATTAATTTTGACCCTTTCAACGTACATATACATGGATATGTAAATATACGTACCATCAAATGTATGAAAAATATAATATAGTGTTTTATCATATCATAACAGACTCAAGTTTAATATGTACATTAGTTAGTGTCAGATTTGAACAAGCAGATCTAATTTAGATTGACCCATTTGTAAATGGAAAATGTGTGTCTTCAGATATTTATGATATGTTTTGTCTTTTGTGTGTTACGGACTCGTTTTATTTGTTTATAGGAATATTGAAATTTTATTAAAATTAATTCATTAGAAATTCTTATTAAACTTAATATCTTTAATTATCTTGTAATATTTTTGTTTTTTATTTTTATTTTTATTTTTAATCCAAAGTATTTGATAACTAAAAACAATTTATAATTATAGTTCCTCAAAATTGTACATCTATTTCTATGACACGGCGATTAGTACTTCCCACTATCGTCAAAATTGAGTGTGCAAATCAGCACGAAGAAGATTGGAGGTGGGCAGCAATTATTTTGAAGAAGAAGAAGAAGAAAAAAAAAAAATAAAAAATCAAAGATTAGATTATGAGTTATGATTAGACATTAGACTTTGTTGGTATCTTGACTTCCATTGGCAGACAATTGGGTGGTGGTTGGTTCTCGAACCTTTGAATTCAATTATAGAAATAAACACACTAGTAGAATAGTCTGTTTTTTTTTCAACTGTTTTGAGACTGTATCCTTTGTATAATGATTGTATCATTTTATTATTTTTAATGTATAAGTTAAGTTTAATGATTAATTTGTTAATAGTATTTAATTGAGATATTATATATGATAATCATGTTTAAGAGTTAATTACTTTTATTTAAAACGAATTCAACGATTGAGTATGGGAAAGAGTAAAAACTTGATTGTAACAGATTTTAAAATATAAAAGTAAAATTATTTATTTATTTAAAATTTTAAAATATACGCAAAGTGTTAAGTTCCCGACTCTTGTGTTTCGGACTTAGTACGAGTGTCGTGTGAAATATTTTCATCGATGTTCACGTGGTGTCATGCTAAAAATGATAGTGTATGTAATTTTTCTGTTACATAACTACGTGTGAGAATATAATTTAGAAAAGTTTAAATCGAATATGTTAAATTAATTTTATCTTATTAATGTCATTTAAAAAAAAATTAAAGCGAGTTTTAAAATTGAATAAACTAACATAATTATTGAGAAGATGAATTAATAAAATTACAATATTAAGAAACTCACTAACTAACCCGATTATTCTCCTCCAACAATGAAATTTTATTTTTTGCCCGTTAAAAAGATTTGATTTTTCCAGTGGTTAAGCACAATTAATATTGTAAGCTTTAATGTATTTCCACACGTGTATACATATATATATATATTTTTTTTGACTTCATACGTGTGTGTAAATATATATATATATGACCTATCAAGAAAATATTTCTTTCTTCGTTATATGGGAAATCTTTTGACATTGTTATACTCTGACTCAAACTCTTGCTACTCTTCTCCATCGACAAATCCGCCATTTTCTATTCTTTCTCGGTCCCCATTATACTCCTACCAGAATTGTGACTCGTACAACACCTACGCCACCCCATTTAATCTTCAACCCTACTGTACTCTGCAGACCTTCTCGCGCGTTCCACTTTCTCGACGTCTAACACCAAACATGACTACCGAACACGGCTCCGATAAAGCTCCAGACATGGAGGTTGTGGAGGAATGCACAGTGAAGGAGGTCGACTTAACGGTGCCGAAAACAGATGATCCGTCGTTACCGGTACTGACATTCAGAATGTGGGTTCTTGGTCTGATCTGCTGCGTGATTCTCTCGTTTGTGAACCAGTTTTTCTGGTACAGGACGAATCCGCTGATGATTTCGTCGGTGGCCGCTCAGATTGCGGTTGTTCCGATTGGTCATCTGATGGCTCGGACTCTGCCGACGAGGCAGGTGTTTGAGGGGACTAGGTTCGCTTTCTCGATGAACCCTGGTCCGTTTAATATTAAAGAACACGTCTTGATCACGATCTTTGCTAATGCCGGAGCTGGTACGGTTTATGCCACGCATATATTGAGTGCCGTTAAGCTTTTGTATCACCGGAATCTCAGTCTTTTTCCGGCCTTTCTTGTTATGATTACTACCCAGGTTAGATTTAATATTACACACACATATACGTATATATGTATACATATAATATGAAGTTTAAAGTTTTAAGTACTTGAAGTTGAAGAGGACTAATCGTGGCCTTTTCTTGATTGATATATAATAGGTTCTTGGCTTTGGTTGGGCTGGTCTCTTTAGGAAATACCTGGTTGAGCCAGGGGAAATGTGGTGGCCTTCCATTCTGATTCAAGTCTCACTCTTCAGGTAATTTTATGGTCTATATAGTTAAATATAATACACAGTTATATATATATATATATATATGTATAACTGAAATATATGTATCAATTACAGGGCTCTTCACGAGAAGGAAAAGAGACCAAAAGGACGGACAACAAGAACCCAGTTCTTTCTCATCGTAATGATAACGAGTTTCGCTTACTACATTCTTCCTGGCTATCTCTTCATGATGCTGTCAACATTCTCCTGGGTGTGTTGGCTTGCGCCCAAGTCAGTTCTGGTTCAGCAACTGGGTTCGGGCCACCAAGCTCTCGGCGTTGGAGCCATTGGTCTTGACTGGGCCACAATCTCGTCTTACCTCGGCAGCCCACTGGCCAGTCCCTGGTTCGCCACCCTCAATATCGCGATAGGGTTCTTTCTGGTGATGTACGTCATGACTCCCATCTGCTACTGGCTTAATATTTACGGTGCCAAGACCTTCCCCCTCTTCTCCAACTCACTCTTCAGATCAGATGGCTCCACATATGATATCTCCTCCATTATCGACTCCAAGTTTCATCTGGACCGAGCGGCTTACTCCAGGATAGGACCTGTCAATATGAGTACTTTTTTTGCTTTTACTTATGGACTTGGCTTTGCTACCCTCCCTGCAACTATTGTTCATGTCTTGCTCTTTCATGGAAGGTGACTATAATCTTCTCTCCCTGCTTATTTAAATGATCATATACATGTATATGTTTTGATATAATTGTATTGCTCGTGTAGGGATTTGCTAACGCAAGCGAAACGAGCCTTTGGAGGGAAGAAGAAGATAGATATACACACAAAACTAATGAAGGCTTACGAGAAAGTTCCATTATGGTGGTTTCTTGTGATTCTTGTGATCAATATAGCTCTTATTATATTTTCCTGCCAGTACTACAATTCTGCACTTCAGTTGCCATGGTGGGGTGTTTTGTTAGCTTGTGCAATTGCCATGTTCTTCACTCTTCCCATTGGAATCATCCAGGCTACCACTAATCAGGTACCGAAAAAGAAAACACACTCTTTCATTCAATTTTCATTTTTTGGTAATTCATTTATTTGATTGTTCGTTTCTTTTTACAGCAACCAGGATTGAACATCATCACTGAATACGTAATTGGGTATCTGTACCCAGAGCGACCTGTTGCTAATATGTGCTTTAAAGTGTATGGATATATCAGCATGACTCAAGCTCTAACCTTCCTTGCTGACTTCAAGCTTGGCCACTACATGAAGATCCCACCAAGAGCCATGTTCATTGCTCAGGTCTCTTACTTTTTCGTTCTTCTCAATTCTCTTCTCCCTCTTTCTTGTCAACCAGAATATTGCCTAATACTAAATCATATATATATATGGGTTGTGTTGCAGGTTGTAGGAACTATTGTATCAGTGATTGTATACACCTTAACAGCCTGGTGGCTAATGGGAGACATTCCAAATCTCTGTGACACCACAAAGCTACCAGCCGGAAGCCAATGGACTTGTCCAATGGACAGAGTTTTCTTCGACGCATCAGTCATCTGGGGTCTCGTTGGACCTCGAAGAATATTTGGGGTTCTGGGCCAATACGCCGGAATCAATTGGTTCTTCTTCGATGGAGCCATAGCTCCTTTCCTCGTCTGGCTAGCACAAAAAGTTTTCCCCCAACAAAAATGGATCTCTCTCATCCACATGCCTGTTATTTTAGGTTCCACCGCCATGATGCCGCCGGCTGCCGCCGTTAACTTCACCAGCTGGATCGTTATTGCTTTCCTTTCTGGGTTTATTGTGTTCCGCTACCGCCAAAAATGGTGGGAACGATATAATTATATTTTCGCCGGAGGACTCGACGCCGGGACGGCCTTCATGACGGTTCTGCTGTTTTTGGGTCTGCAGTCTAGGAATATATCTGTGAACTGGTGGGGAAATAGTGGAGAAGGTTGTCCTTTGGCTTCTTGCCCTACTGCTAAAGGCGTCGTTGTTGATGGCTGCCCTGTTGTCTGATAAAACGCTTCGTTTCGGATTTCGGATACACATTTTTCTTCAACCCTTTTTTCTGTAAAGCAGATTTTTTTTGGGGAGGGAATTCTTTAGGGTATCTATCAATTTTTCTATTAGGGTTTATGATTAGTTGTTGATGTACTCGGTAAACTGTTTATTTACAAATTATCCATTTTCTTTCCAATTTTTTTGCAAGCAAAAGAAAGTAAAACAGAAAATTTATGCAACGCGAAGGATGTATTCATTTCCTTTTCCTCTCATTCATTAATTTTCTCGGCAACCAAACAAACAGATTAAGGAGCGTAAACTGGAAATTTTAAACTCTACGAGTAACTCGATTAACAGCAAAGTGGTTATTGGAAAAGAGTCTGACCTGCAAATTATAACTCTGCAGTTCATTTGATTTGGATGATTTTTCCCCGGAAAAGGACCAATTTCCCGAGAAAATAATACTTCTAGTTCTAATTGGAAGCCATTTATTAATCACAGAGCTGAGAAAGCGAGAGAAAATTTTAGATTCAACAGTTCACTCACTGAGTCTTGAGTCAATGGTGTTATTTTCTCGGTTCTCCGCCTCAGCAATCGTCAGTCATGTATAGTACCTTTCAGATTTCTTCACGTCATTGATGCACAAAACGTCGCCGTTTTGGTACGGCCACTTGTTGGGACAAAACGCGCCGTTTCTTGAGAATCTTCAGACCGTACGGACGTCCGAGAGTGTGTGTGTGTGTGTGTGTATATATATATATATATAATTCTCACGTGCCAGTTTTAAAATTTTTTAAAAATATTTTAAAGATAAAAATTTACTTTTAGTTGAATAAAAAAAATTGATATATAATTTGATTCTCATTCAACGAATAATCTTATCATAGTTTAGGTAAAAATCCTTGTCACAAATATACTATTAATCATATATCTTAATTTAAATACATATAATATTTCTTATAAATTTCTATTTAAAATAATGCTAATATATATATATATATAATAAATGAAATATAATTAAAGTGAGAGTATTTGTAATAGTTATCTATTTATTTTTTTAAAAATATAAAAATAAAATTTAATTTTTTATTGGTCACAAATATATAAGTAAAATTATTTATTTCAAATTTTCATTAATTATAAACTCTAAAACTATATATCATATAAATTTTTTATTACTTATATCTACCATATTTTATTTATCACCTATATATATCTCAGTTTCTTTTACATTTTTATTATAATTTTTTATTAAATACTTTATTTACATAAGGCAAGATCTGTATTAATTTTTTATAAAATATAATTTTTAAAAAAAAAAATTATATCATGCGTGTATGACAAATCTAATTATATAATTTTCTCATAAACCTTATATACATATATAAAATATATGCATGAATATTGTTTTGTTAAAGCTACTAATTAGAAATATATGTATGTATGAATATGTACACATGCTATATGGAATCATAGACATATAGTTTTTTGAATAATAACGAGGAGTGAATTAATAATACTCGAGTTCTTATAATTAATTACTTAGACAACTTCTACTTAATTCAAAAATTATAATTAATTAATTACATTAGAGTTCTTAAAAATTATTATTTTTTAATATTACAATTAATATTTTATGTAACATTTAATAATAAATATTATAAATTTATATTTTAAAAAATTAAATAAATTAATACTATGTGGGTGTTATTAAATATATTTTTAAAAATAAATTAAATTAAATATAACATAAAAAATTATTAAATGAAATACTATAGAGATGGATGGTCTCAATTTTCTACCTTTAAATCCAAAAGTAGAATTAAATTGAAAACGACTTTGATTGACTACTTCCTTAATCTTTGATTTATAAGTACATATTGTATAACTATATATAATGGCTGGTTATTTTTTAATAATAAATTAATTTTAATAATATATAATACCTCGAATATATCTTCGTGTTAAACGAATAAATAAATTAATAAGTTCAATACATACATACATGTATATAAATATATTGTAAAAATAATATATGATTCTTAAAACATTATATACCGATCATCACGTAGCGTACCGTGATAATTTGAAGAAATTGATATCTAGATTCGTCGATGTAAATATCTTGACTCTTCTCTAACGTAAAAATATTTAAAGAATTGTAATACTAAGAAACATACAGGAGTGATATTGATTCGGCTCGTCTCCGGTCCAACTCATTAACTCGAAATTGGTCGTGAAGAGATGAGCCGGATCAATACCACGTCCTGTCTGCTTCCTTAGAACATAGATAAGACTGCAAATGGAGCAACTTACATGAGGTTACGACGTCGTATAAATAGGAAGAAGGAAAAGGCAGGATAGAAAGGCAGTGAATCAGGACAAAGGTAAGGAAATGGCATCCTTATTATTCAAACCATATGGAACATTTTACTTTATTACACTGTACGTATACCTATATATATATATATATGTGTGTGTGTGTGTGTGTGTGTGTATATGTTCAACGTTTAGGAATCCCGACACTAACAATCCTTTTCATAATAAATTATTTAATATTTACAACAATATATATATATATATATATGTTAATAATATTAAGGAGGAATTTTTCCCAACACGTGAATTTGTACCACCACCATATGTGATCCAAATATATATATTAGTAATATAATTTGGAGGAAGAATCCAAAGTTTTATGGTTATATTATATCCTCTGTATTGTTTAGAATATTCATTATATATATATATATTGGAGGTTGCAATATTTATTTGGTAAAAATTACCCTACTTTATCTTATAATAATTAATGTTGTACTATGATATATATATATATCAAATATGGGTACTATGATTAAATTAATATATTAAATAATTAACTATTTTTTTAAATTCAAAATACATATTTATCAATTAGATAATATATTTAGTAATTATAAGATAACCCAAATAGTTTTTTTAAATAAAGATACATATAAAAATATATTTTGATTAAAATTAAAAATCTATTGTATAAAAAAAACGTATTAATTATTTAATTAAACAGTTATTAATTACTAATTAATTAGACTAAATTGGTTGGTTTAAAGATCCGTTTCAATTAATTTTTCAATGGCCAATAATATTCAATCAAAAAGTCACTATTAGACACGAGAGCGTTGACCCGGTCTAAAGACTTTCATTTTTCTTTGAAATTCTTTTAACAACATAAATTACACAAAGCACCAATGTATATATAGATGTATCTATATCTCTATATATAGGCATATATATATATATATATATATATATATTATCCTCATAGCTTTCTTCTTCTAACGCGGTTCAAACACTCCAAAAAAGCATTTAGTAGATATAAGTCATAAAACATTAGGATAAGCTTAATTAATTAATTATAAAAATTAATGAAGAGGTTTATGTTTCAAGATTTAGGAGATAATATAAATTATGTATTTAATTAAAGACCAATTATTTTCTTATAAATTATTTATTTTTATATTATCTTTTCATTTGATAACATAAGAGGGATTATTATAAATTATTTAATATTTTATTTTAAATTAAATATTTTTTTAAATTAATTAAAATACATATATATTTTTTTATTCGGTCATAGAATCTTTATTCTAGGTAAGTTCAAAGGTTCCCAATTTTTTTTATTTTTTATTAAACATAAATGGACTAGCTTTATGAACAAAATTCCTCTTGTCCTAAAAATTCAATTCCACTAAGTAGCTACATGGTGGTACTAATTTAAATGGGATTATGATTTGAATTCGTATGTGTAATTAATAGTATGTTTTCTAACTATAGTAATAAAGTATTTATGCTTATATTTATTCTTTTATTTTATAGAAAATGATTATTTTTTTGGAAAAAAATTAGTGATTGTACTATTTTTATATTAGTTTTTACCCATTAAATAATTTTTTTATATAGTCTATTAAAATATAATAATTACATCAAAACTAAAGTATTCGAAAAAAAAATTAATAATCTTGTAATCTTGAATTCTAAGCTTACTTTATTATAGGTAGTAAAATATGAAAATTGCTATTAAATTATTTTATTTTGTCTAATTTAGATTGAATTTATTATAATTTAATTAATTTAATGTGAAATTAACTTAATAATATTTTTTAACTTAAGTTTATAGGTGAACATTATTATATTCAAGTTAAAAAATTAAATTGGACTATAGTGTAACATCCCGAGTATCAAATTGCGACCCTTGGAGCGGAAATAAAATTTAAATATTTCATAAGGTTTAAAAATAGAATGTAAATTCGGGAATTTAAAAGAAGCCAACGGTCCAGATCTATTCCTGACATCGAACGGTTGTGAAAACCCCTATAAGAGTTTCATTTTCTCAGTCATTTCAGGAAAAAAAGAAAAAGAAAAACCCTAACAGAAGGGGGAAGACGACGCAGGAGAGAGAAATGGCGAAGGGGGAGACCGAGAGGGAGCTTGGCACGCGCGAGAAAAGGCAGAATCGTGAGGGAGGGAGGGAGGGATAAGGTGAAAGAACGAAGGGGAGAGACTGGATAAGTCGGAGAGGCATTTTCGTTCGGTGCGGCGAAGCGTTTTTCTTTGCCACGGTACCGATCCGAACTCATATTTATTTTCTATTCATTCGAGATGAGTTTCGGTTAATCTTATCTTATTGAGATGGATTTCACCGTTTGAGCCGAAATCTAAATTAAATTTAGAGTCAGTTGTTGATTTTTGTTCACAAGGGTTGAGGTTCGAGATCGTTTTTAACATGGGGTTCTACATGCGGTTTTCTACCCTATTCTGAGCTCAGGCCTTGATATTTTGGCGCCTTTGTAGGTAAGTGTTCGGTGAAGAAGATATCTCATGCAGTAAGCCGAGTCACTTCATCTGATATCCGAGAAAGAGTAAGAATACTTTTGCACCCAAATCCCCAGATCTGTAGTTTAGTTCGTATCGAAATCCGATTAAAAATGAACGGTTAATATACGAGGGTAGTTTAATCTATTTCGTAGGGAATATGTGAATTACGCAATTAACTGTAGGATCCGA